TACAGCGTTTGGATGGAAATGGTAGGGTTCTGCTTTTCCCCCACAACACCAAGCCAAATACACAGTCATCTGCTAAAGGTACACAACCAAGAAAGGTCGCTCGCCATCGCACACTCATTGTGTATGAACTGAGTTCACCAACCCTACTCCATCCAGGTGGCCGCTGCCCACCCCCAGCCATTATCAGCATCTGCTATTTCACTGGGCCCCTCCTAGGTGTGACTCCCAGATACTATGGCATTGTCCTGGTCCTTTGTACACTCACACTGACCTCCTCTGTAGCCTTCCTGTTTCCTTCCCTCAAAATCTTTTCCATGTCCCTGTCAGAGTGGAGGCGTGTTCCAAAGCTGCTGTCTGCTCTTTGTCAACACTGTGTGTCATGGCTCCTGTTGTAGGGGACAAAAACAGTGACCTATAGCACAAGGTCCACTCCCAGCTACCTGTCTCAGCAACACACACACACACACACACACAGGCCACCTAAACAAGAGCTGCATGCACCACCACATTCACAAAGCCCAGAAACCCCCCCCCTGTATCCTGTGCCTTTCAGTGTATCCAACTCCCCGCATGAATGTCATCAGTATCTGCCCTTCTGCACATTTGTTCCAAGGTAACTGGTTCTCTCCCATCACCTTTCCCAGTCCTCCTGGGTACCAGCTCCTGGGCTAGCTGCAGACTCAGAAGCACTTCCCTGAGCCCAGGCAGAGCTCTAGGTGTGTCTCATACAGCTGTGGCTGCTCTGAATCTATCCTCCACAGATGGAGACGCTCATGCTCTACCTTACCTCCAGGGTCCAGCACAGTAATTGTTGGCTAAATGAGAGAGTTATTTAAGTACCACTAATAACAGCAAAGCAAATGGGAACCAGCAACATCAGCTCCTGGCACAGTTAAGATGCACTTCATTGTCTAGTGTCAAGAGGAAGAGAATGCCTTGTTAGGTCAACTAACCTAATAAGCAGAGGAAAGGAATGTTCTCATGAAATTAGGCATCCACCGTCTACTGCCATTTACTGATGGAGAGCCATCTAATTTGATTTTCTCTTTGGGTAAAAGTATAAGATCACTGCTTTCATATTTCCAATACACCCATTGTCCATCTGCCTTTCTTCATTTTCTCCAAGGGCCTTTGACTTCCAGCCACTTTTAAATTAGATATACATCTCAGAACACTCAGGCCTAGCACCTGCTTGGTTTCATCGAATGCGCTGGAGAGGAGGGTAGGAAGTGAGTCACCCAAAAGGCACAATGACACAAACTGTGGAGTTGGAATGAGGGCATTTGTTGTTCTTGCAAGAAGACCAGTGTTCAGTTCCAAGCACCCACGTGTTGTCTTACAACCGTCCATTCCTCCACTTCCAGGGGGTTGATGGCATCTTCCCACATCTCCAGACACCACACATGCATGTGGTTTAGACATGCATGCAGGAAAACCACTCAGACACATAAAATTAAAATAAATACTATTTTTAAGTACAAACCATGGTGTGACTTTCCCTAGGTTATCTGAACTCCCTTGTATCTCTGTTTTTTTTTTTTTCCTTTAAGTGGATATTAAGAACAGTGTCTAGAGTTAAAGCTGAGTTTGCTGACACAATCCTGTACTCTTGGAGGCTGAGCCAGGATCTGGAGCTCAAAGCTGGAGCTTAAAGCTAGACCTCTCACAAGAGATGGGGGAAAAAAAAAAACAGCCAGCTACAGTAGAGGTTAAATGAGATGCCACAGGCCAAGCACATGCCTGGGTCAAAGGAATTATTCAACAGAATGAGATGGCTACAGAAAGCCAATCAAAATGTAGGGTTGTAGAGCCTGGTCCATGAGTACATCTATAAAACACTCCCACACCTAGTTCCGCTCAGGGAACTTTGAGGAAGATGGGGTGGAAAAAATGTAATATCTAGAAAGGATCAGAGAATTTGCTGTGAGATTGTGTCTCCTAGTACTGTCAGAAACTACACCCATAACGTCCCAATATGATTGCTCTGAATATGCTGAACAAGGACAACACCAGTGAACATATCAAAGCGGGGGAGAGGGAATAGAGAAATGTGGTCTGTCTCAACACTACACAAAAAACTATAGGTGACTATAGTTGGGAGCAGGAAAGATGGCCTTCCCCAGGGAATAACAGAACAGAACAGAATAACAACTGTCCTATGCCAAACAGCCATCCTTAAAAACATACCTACAAGTAATATTACATGGAATGAACAGGTTATATTTAGGAATATATGTGTGCTTCCAATAACAATTAGTGAAAAAAAAAAAAGAGAGAGAGACCATGAGTTTGAAGGAAAGTGGGCGGTGTATATGGAAGGGTTTGGTGGGAGGAAAAGGAAAGGAGAAATGTTATAATTAAATTATAAACTCAAAAAAAAATCTAAAAGGAAGTGCTCAGCAAAATTTTAGTAGCTTGAGAAGAAGGCTGCATGGGCGGTCTGCACCATGGGGAATATCATGGTGAGTGAACAGCCCCTATGGCTTACATTCTTGAGAGCAAAGAGAGGCAAAGCGTAAACAGACAAAATAAACCAAGTTGGAATGCTATACAGGAAACCAAAGGGCTCTGCAGTGGTTAACGGTGAAGGGGCTGCTTCAGATTCCACATCAGAGGAGGGGCCGTCTGGGAAGACAGCACTTCCACTAAGAGATGAAGGGTGAAAAGAAGTCAGGCACATGACACACCACGAAAAGAACATTCCAGACTCGGGATATGGCAAATGCAAAGCCTTTCGCCGAATGTTCTAGAACCATCCACGGACTAGTGTTGGCCGGAAGAAGCGTGAACCCGCAGAGAAATTACCCCTGTTGGAAAGCAGGGTGGAGTCAAGAGTGGCACAGTTGCCTCGGCTGCCCATCCCAAGGCCTGCTCAGAGACACATAACGGGAAGAAGCAGGCAGTGGTATTTCAGAACTGTCTGGAGCCTCGGTGTGAACCTGCCTGTATTCTCTCTGACTCAAAATGCATTTCAAAGACAATTAAAATCTCCAAATGCCCCTTTCGAAGGCTTCATTGTCCCCTGTCCCATCTGTCTAGCTGGCTCCCTTCCTGCTCCCATTTGCTTTGCTCCAGACATGCCAGAAAGGTTGCCTTGTCCCTGGGAATGGACCTGCCCAGGAGGTCTGTACAGCTGCAAAGAGATGAGAACTTTGGGGCTGAGCTTTTGAGAACTTACTGTCACCAGGCAGGTCCTCTCAAATGTGTATTTTCAGACTCTAGAGGTGAGCAAAACTCTTACAGCTCAGAAGAAACACTGTCTGTGTTTAGCATTTTGCTGTTCCCACCTGAAACACTGATGGATAAATATATCACACCTCAGACCCACTGCAACAGCCGAGCTGACTTAAAATAGGCATGCGTGTTTCTTACATGTATTGAAATCCATGTAAAACAGGGATATTGCCCTTTAACAGGAACACTGTAATCTCTTGGCTAAAAGAGCACTAAGACAATGTGAGTTTGAGAAGAAAATCCTCTCCTCTATGACACTACCAGCATTCCCTCCTCCCTGAAGTGAGGTACTAACCAGACCAAGCTAGAGGGGCTTCCAGAGGAAAGAAAAGATGCTACAGCCTGCAAGCAGCTGAACCATCTTTCTTCTTCCCTTCATCACTGCAGGATAACGAGTTTGTCTGCTTCCAGCATCCTCTCCAACTGGAGGCAAGGCTAGTCTGCAGCCACACCTTGAGCCCTGAGACCAGGAGGAAAAGCCTCTTCCCAGAAGTCCTAGCACCCCACTTTCTGCAAGGGAGATCTTTGATTGGCTGTGCTTGGGCCAGGTGTCTGTCACTTGACCCTAACAAGAAGAACTGCTGGCGTGAAGAGCAAAAGCACAGCCCCTCCACCACACCTCCAGCAACTCAGATTTTGAAACCACGCTGGACTCTCCTACCCCAACAGATGAAATCAGATTCTGTTTAGGTCTCTTTCTTGCCCTTACCAGCTGGCTTCCTGAGTCCTGGTCTCTAGGTGGCCTGTCATGGCCATCTTCAGCCTGGGTGTTCTGCCATCCCTGCCCACTCTGATGAACTTTGACCTCCTCTCTCTGTTATGGCACAGTGCTGTCCAGCTCCCTCTGTAATGCCTTCTTGATATTCTATCTACTGCATCTTGCTTCACCCAGGAACACAGCACTTCCACTCTGAGACAATCCCCCTCTGTCACCCTACCAGGCTATAGCATCCTCAAGAGCAGAGACTTGTCTGATTATCTTTGTGACCCAGAAGCTAGAACCAGCAGTATATAGGAAATCTTTCTGCATTGAATTGAAAAGGATGAAATCATTCTCATAATATCAGGCTGTAAAAGCATTTAAAACCTACCTAGCCTGCATTGTGGCCTCACTGAGGACCTGGTGACTGTCATAGCTTTAGTTGGAGTCACAAAGGGCTTTCCTGAATTTAGTTTATCTTGGAAATTCAGATTTCAGTGTGTCCAAATAAGTTATTTTTTCATACCTACACCACTTTTAACATTTCATTATTGTTTTGACCTCTCCTGTGAAATTTCAATATTGATAGCTGGATCTCTCACCTGTGAGGAAAATAACTGTTTTCCCCACCGCTGCTAGTTTGTGGAACAATGTGACATCTGGGGATGGGTTTTCCCAACTTAAAAATCTGTCTGTATGACTGTATTAAAGTGTGGGATGAGGGGAGACAATGTGTCAAGGGGGAGTGATGGTGGGATATGGTGAGGATATGGTGTGTACCAAGAGTGTATGGCATGTCAGGGGAGTGTCTATGCAGGTACATGGTGAATGCTAAACTGTGTGCTTGAGAGGAATGGGATCAGAAAAGTGAAGGAGGACCCCACAGGTACAACTCTTCCAAATGTATTGCAAACTGTCTCCTACTCGGGTTCCTTCCAAATTCTCCCTGGAAACCTTAATAGGTGAAGCTCTTCGGGAATCACACTGGGTTGTTTCAGTCCCATCCCTGAGGTGCTCATGGCGGTCAATCCATCCTCATCTTTTTATGTCATTTCTGTCTCCACAGGGGACTCATTGCCAAAGGCTTCACAGAGACCCATTATCTGCAAGATGGTACTGATGTCTCCTTCACTCGAAACTACACGGTAATTCCTGCATGTTTGGATCAACAGAACTCTACATGCAATTTGTGCTGACACTTTATAGCTATTTTTTTTCCTGAGCTAATCACATGCCCATATTCTTAATTTAGGCCCCAGGAATCCTTGGAGAAGTCAGGCTCACACCTTACATTCCAGCTCTCAGGAAAGCGAGGCAGAAGGCTCACTGAGGTTAGAGGAAGTGGAGGCTATAGAGTGAAGCTCAGGACAACATGGCCTCGAAAGGAGACCCTTCCCCAAAACAAAAACTAAAGCTTTTTAGAAAGGTTTTTAGCCAGATGTGGTGACATTGACTTTTAATCCCAGCACGTTGGAAGACAGAGGCACATGGGTCTCTGTGAGTTCAAGACCAGCCTGGTCTATATATCCAGGGCTACATAGTGAGTCCCTGCCTACATGTGAAATTGGGAGAGGACTGAGAGGGATGATAATGAGTAGGTTTCTGTTACTTATCTGGACTACATAGTGAGTTCCAGACTAGCCCAGACTATAGTGAGACCCTCTCTAAACTTAACAAAATGGTATGTGGGCATAGGGATAGCCAGAGCTTTGGTTACAAGGTTTGGGCCATGGGACCCCAAGAGGCTGCTTAGAACCCAGAGCCAGGAAGGGAAGAGAGAGAATGAATAAATATGAATGAGAATAAAAATTAATATAAAGGCCAGGTGCTAGAGAAGGAACTGGATTCTACAGTTAGAATCTCACAAGAGTTGGCTTCTCTGGATAGAAGAGCTGCTTCTTGTGCAGAAGAGAACTTGTCCAGCCCCAAGGACGACAGGAAAGAATTGTCTGCCAGGTGTCATGAATTAAAAGACTTCACACACACACACACACACACACACACACACACAAGGAAGGAAGGAGGATAAAGTGGACCCCATGTGATCTTTCGCATGTGTTAAATGTTTTGGGGATTTGTTGGCCCATATCCAGATTTTGAGTATTCTCCAGTCAGACATTGACCTCAAAGCTACTCCCAAACCAGGAAAGTCTGCTGGAGCCCAGGCTGAAGCCCAGGCTAGAGTGTTCCCTAGGGAATTTTCTACAGCCCAGATGTATGAGATGATCATGCAAAGAGAAAAAAGGGTAATAAAAATATTAAAGATGAGTCCCAAGGTAAAAAATAAATAAATAAATCACAAGCCAGATAATGAACAAAGGCACCCATAGACAAAGGGGAGAGAAAATTGGTCCTTCCCAAAACAGAGATAGAAGAGTAGCCAGAGGGGAAATTTTTAAGAACAAAATAGATTTAATGGAAATTTAACAGAAATCCAATATTCAATGTGGGACAGAAGCAGTAATCAAACAGAATGTGACAACGGTGTTTCCAGGTTGAAGGGAGGTATGAATCTTGACAAAGCTCCACCAATCCCAGGAAAAAGAACCAAAATACTCCAGGGTGGTTTACAGAGAACCTACAGGATGTCAAAGACAATGTCTTAACCCTGCCTGACGCAGAGCAGTTCGTGGTAAAGGAGGGTAACTGAATCAACAGCAGATTCCTCACCAGCAATGACAGGGTTAGAACACAAGGAAGAGGGGCAGTAACCTCCCCCCTGGACCCCACGCTGAAACGCCTTTACAAAGCTAAGAAACAGTGTACAGCCTTGCTCATAAAACAGTACAAGAACTCAGCGCTCCCGGAGCCTAACAAAGGCTACCCAGTTAAGAGCAACCTGCAAAGAGCAGCTCAGCAAGAAGAAAACTGAGCACAGGGGTACAATAGCAGAGGCACTAGCAAGCAAAACAATTGCACCAAATAAACCTGTTTAAAATGGCAGCTATAACAGGGGTGACTATGTTTGGATATTCTCGAACAAGGCAGAGAAATAAACTTGAAACAGTTGAGAGTTAGTCTTGTCCTAAAAATAACAGGCATGCTGATTAACTTTGATAAGTAAAATATAAGGCACCTGAACACTTTCAGAATAAACATCTAAAGAACAGAAAAAACAATGTATTCTTCCAAATAGCAGGCTATCAATGGAAATCTTTTTTCAACCTAGTACAGGGCAGAATAAAGGGAAAGTATTGGAAAAGAAAGAGGATAAATATATAACAGAAAGGAATAAGATAATACATGAATCACATTGTATATAAATAGGTTGAATAGACTTGTCAAGACCCATATTCCCATGTATAAAATGGAAAGAAATAAATCAAAGGAAGGATAGATAGATAAACTTGAATAAAAAAATATAGCTGCTGTAGTTGTACGGATATCAGACAATTCTAGCAAAGTAGAAAGTGGGGGAGGAAGGAAGGGAGAGAGAGAAAGAGAGACAGACAGAGAGGGAGAAAGAGAGATTAATGGCCAAGAGGTCCTTGCATAGTGATAAAAGAAATGAGTCAAATAGACGGTGAGAGCCTAGGGGATGGGTCAGTTGAATAAAGGCCTTTGCAGCCTGATGACTTCATTTTGATCCACAGATGGGATGCAGGAGGTATAGAGAACTGATTACAGCTGGCCAATACTGTTGTCCATGCACACACACACACACACACACACTCACACTCACACACTCACACTCATACACACACACACTCACACACACACACACACACACACATACTCACACACACACATAAATAAATAAATAGATACATAAATAATGAAAGGCTATTGAAAAGCTGTGCAACCACTTACACTAGCACGACATTCTCAAACATATATAAGAAAAATTATTTGAAAAAGACTGTGATTTTTTTTTAAATCTACAGGTTCATGTGTAGTTAATGCTTTAGCCCAGCTCCTAACTATAGGGTTTCTTAAAATCTAGAGAATCCATTAAAATTAGGAGTGAGAGGTCTAAAGTTTTTGTTTTTACTTCTAGTTTAATAATTTTAAAACAACCCCCCAAAAGAAGCATGACTCTTAAATATTACAGTTTCTCCCCAATAAAAAATTCTCCAAAATGAAACTGGCACAACTTAATTCATCAAGGAAGACACTGAAAATCTCCAAGATTACCCACAGCCCAGGGTGAGTGGGTTGGATGGCGGGGTCTATGCTAGAAATGGGAATTTGGAAAATGAGCAGAAACTAATGAAAAGGAATGCAAATATATATATGTGTGTGTATATATATATATATATATATATATATATATATATATATCTTTTATATCTCTCTCTATAGAGAGAGAGGGATAGATAGATAGATAGATAGATAGATAGATAGATAGATAGATAGATGACCAGCCTACCAAAAAAATCTGGCCATTTGAAAAATACAAACAAAACATTAACAAGATGAACGAAAGAAAACATTGAAGGTACACCTTTTATAAAGAGACTATTTCAATCACAGCGAAGCTATGAACAATACTGATCATTATCTTAAAAATGCACAATTCTTGGAACCTGGAGAGATGGCTCAGTGATTAAGGGGTTCTATTCCCAGCACCCATATGATAGCTAACAACCAACCAGTTCCGGGGCTCTGATGCCTACTTCCGGCCTCTGCAGGCACTGCATGCATGATGTGCACAGACATACATGCAGGCAAAATATCCACATACATTAACAGCAAAGAAAGAGAGAGAGAGAGAGAGAGAGAAAGAGAAAGAAAGAAAGAAAGAAAAAAAGGAAGGAAGGAAGGAAGAAGAGAGAGAGAAAGAAAGAGAGAGAGAAAGAAAGAAAGAAAGAAAGAAAGAAAGAAAGAAAGAAAGAAAGA